CCAATTTGCCAGGCGTCGACCCACTTAGAAGACCCTGCTCAGAAAACACAAAACAAACCGAAAACCTAACCAAACTTTGTATCATGTGCGAATTAGAGATGGGTGCGTGTGGGAACACATGCTGAGTGTGATGGGAGAAGAAGAGGAGCGGGTAGCGCCAGTGAAATGCTATCGATCTTCTTGGCACCGCGTGTCACGAAACTTGCTCATCGCTATCCTACACAACTATAAACTGAAAATGCGGTGATGTATCCCAAAATAACCGCCCAGCCACACCTACAACCACACCCACACCCCGCACCACACCAAGCGGCTTACTACTCAGTGTCAGAAACAAGTTCAATTCATTTTTAAGCATATCCTTTTTGCAATTTATGTCTCTTCCCCTTGTGCGCTCCTGCTCAACCAAATCCCAGCCCAAAAACTCGCAGCAAGCAGCTTCTTCCGTCTTCTCCAGTCTTGCGCCCCTCCCTTCCCCACCCCCGACTTTCAGACAGCTTACTGTTGCTCATCAAATGTCAAACCAATACACAGGAGGACTTAACTTTCTGTTGCCGCTGCTTTTGCTTTTGTTTGGAATACCGCACCCTTTGGAGAGGTATTGATGAATTTTACAAGGTGTTTGTAACGAAGAGACCTTGCATGTGTAAGAGCTGCATTCTGGTGATGCGCTTTAAGAGTACTGAATTATTAAGTTCAAAAACTAATCATAGAGTCCCCAAATCGGCATAGCCAATTGTAAGCGCAGATCAATGGAACTTTAGGGAATCTTTCTGGTGTGTTTTTGTTTTTGTTATTTCCTTGGGCCTGAGATGCTGTGCGCTGTGCTGTGGGGTGGCTGCCTTTTCCATTTCCGTGGCATTGTAGTTGAAAAAGTGCGGTTAAAAAGTTTTTGGCACGCCGCAAAGCGATTTCTCGCGTTTTCCCCATTGCAAGAAGCTTTTAATAATGTCGCTCGACTTTCGTTATTTTCACTCCCAGAGAGCAAGCTGAATGAAGGGCAACTTTTGCCAGCGCATCACTCTGCTGCCGCAAATCGAGATGAAGTTATTTTCATAAGATTTCGCGCTTTCAAAGGGCCGCAATTCATTTCATAAAAATCGTATTGAGATTTTAATCCACAATGAACCCAGCCAGCATTCGTCGGCATATATTCCACATATGTGTGTATGAATGTGTGGGTGGAATCCGTATCCGGTGTGCTCGAGTGTTTGTGTTTTTGTAATTGCATGTCAATTGCACGCTTCTTTTCGGGGAGGCGCCGTGAAAAACGAGAAGCCCCAACGCTGGCATTCAATTACGGTAACTTTTTCTTTCATTTATACTTTTTTTTTGTGCTGTTTTTGCTGCTGTTGTTGTTGGCTCATTGTGAGCGCACAATTTCCTTGATGCTGATGCGGGTGCTGATGCTCTGGTAGAGGTACGAATGTCTGCGTATGGCTATAATTTATTTTAATTAAAAAAATGAATCCCGCACTTGCTGTGGAAGGTCGAAGTTAATTTTCGCTTCCCAATTCATTGGCAAAAACTTTTGAAATGAAAATAAAAAGCTTTAAAAAAAGAGATTATCGATCGTAAATCATATGATACGATGGTGGAAAATCGTATTTGTTCGGAATTAATCACAAACTTGACTGGTTTTTTATGGTTAGGTAACTTTTCCCCCACTTTTTCCAACAAAAACTCACCGAAAACGCCAATGATTTGTCAGTAGCCGCACTTCACGACGCTCTGCAGTCTCAAAATGGCCAGTGGTACCCTCTTTAGTCAGCCGATCGAGTGCCGTGTGGCGCAAAACATAATCCACGACGGCCTTCTTCATGGCAAACACATAATCCGCACGCACCTCGGCAATGTTCTCATTCAGTGCGGTTTGCCATTTGTTCAGAAACGCCGGCACCAAATCCGTAATCCTACACAGAAACTGGGTAATAGAATGCAATATTTATGAGAGAGGATGCCCGCACCTTTTGAGGATCTTTCGGTTGAGCGGCGACACATGGATCGTGTCGATGCCATGCTTGATGTAGTAATAGTAGCGAAGGGTTTCCTTCTCGTCCTTGTCGGGAAAGGGTATCTGGCACTGGCCCACCTGCTGCGCCTCCTGATCATCGTCCATATGCAGTATCAACTCGACCAGTTTCCGGCGGAAGTGCTCGCGCTCCACCCGCATTGCCATGTAGTTGGCTTTGCCCTTCCGCTCGGCCTCCGCTTTCTTTTCCTCACGCTTGCGACGGACACGTTTTTTGGGGCAGAGTATGCTTTCGGGCAGATCGGAGAGCATTTTGCCATCCAGTAGCCCACTCGTGCACTCCGGCATATTCAGCTCGTACCAGAGACGGCGCGATTTGTACTCGGGATTGGCCTTCGACTGGAGGATGCTCTGCAGGACGTCCGGCTTTGGCCTGGTGTAGAGCATTTTGGACTTTTCGCATATGCGGCGGGCGCCGCAAATGGACGTAGAGCTGGGTATATTCATATCCCTATTGGGATTCTGTCGGTTCTGCATGTTGCGGTCTGTAAATAGAATCAAATTTGAATTTAAATTTTAATTATAACCGGTTCGTCAGGATGGTGGTTATAGACTTGGCTAGTTTTTTTGTGGCAACGCCGGCAAGGGGTAACATCGATTTCGATAGTTGCGGAGTCCGCTGCAACAAAATACCCACAGCGGTACGAATATTCTACAATTTAGGAGTTACTGTGTAGTTACTATGTTAAAAGGTCTTTAAAATAAGCTAATGTTGTGGTGTATTGATTTATCAATCTCATAAAATTATAGTTTTAGTGCCAAGACTCTTAACTAGCGAGTAATATCAAATAGAACATCAAAATCGAAGAAAATAATTTAGGATTCACAGTATATTTTGTATATTTTGAAAATGTAAGGGTATATTTCGGTATATTTTCGAGGGTCTGTCGGTATATTTGATCGATAATTCTGCGGTCACACTGGTACCGATTAAATAACAAAAAAAAAGCCGGAAAATTAGTTAAATTTGAAGTAAACTTAAATTTATTTGAATTCACCGACTTACCAGTCGTAGTTAGTTATATTGCAGCACACAAAATCGTTGATTTAGTACGCGCCGCAACGCGTTTTTTCCGGCTTATTTTTTATCCGAACATACGAACGTGTTGAAAACAAATGCAAATGCCACACGTTTCTAGTTTATTTTGAATTGATTTCCGGAAAATTTGGAAAACCAAGCAAGCGGCGTTGCCCATAGCATCGGCCGGCCCAGAGCAACAAGTCACCCCATACTCCTAGGACCTCACCACACAAAAAAGTAAAAGAAAAATTAAATTAAAACCTGCAATGTTGCTACAAAAGTTCTGCACGCGGGCGCTGCACACGACACGAATGGTGTATGCCAGTGGAACAGGCGCCGGTCTGGAGAAGAGTGCCCTGGCCGCCCTACGCAAGAAGACCGGCTACACATTCGCCAACTGCAAGAAGGCCCTGGAGTTGCATAACAACAATGTCAACGAGGTGAGTGACCCAACCATCCAGCTGACTATTCTCACAGAGATTATAATCTCACTCACTCCCTCTCTCTCTCTCTCTCTCTCTTTGTGGAACAGGCGGAGAAATGGCTGCATTCACAGGCACAGACTCTCGGCTGGACTAAGGCAACAAAAATGGCAGATCGTGCCACGGCCCAGGGCCTTGTCGGGGTTCTCGTACGAGGCAATTTAGGCGCCATGGTGGAGCTCAATTGTGAGACCGATTTCGTGGCACGCAATGATGTCTTCAAGCGCTTCGTGGACCATGTCGCACGGATCTGCCTGCAATACACAGAAGAGATTGAATTTGACGGAGATCTCTGGAAGGTAAGTTAAACACTTTAGCTCCTATTTTATTTTCTGACATTTTGTGCATCTCTTTTATCAGCTTGGCTACCAATCAGAAGCTTTGAAGAATCTTCCCACTGATGAGGGCCGCAATTTGGGCGATCACTTGGCTCTACTTATTGGCGCTGTGGGCGAAAATGCTACCATCAAGCGCGCCATCTGCTTCAAGGCCAAACATGACATTAATTTGTGCGGCTATGCACATCCGGCACCCGCCAATGTGGGCACCACTGAGGACACCACACAAGTGGGCAAATATGGTACCATACTGGCATTCCGTTCCGACATTAAGTACCCGGACTATGAGTTTCAAAAAAGCATTTGCCAACAAATTGTGGGGCTGAAGCCAAAGAAGATTGGTGAATACGGCAAAGACAAGCCGGTCGAGAACAAAGATGACGAGACGTGCCTTATCCATCAGGAGTATCTGCTGGACGCGGACAGAACTGTCGGAGAAATTCTCAAAGAAAACCAGACCACAGTGGTCGACTATCATCGGTACGAGTGCGGCGAGCCGACCAGAGGCAATCTCGACGAAATTATTCGCTCCCGAGAGCAGAGTAGCAATTAAATATATCTAAAGCCAGACGACTGCAGCATGCAACATTGTTATACACCAAACCAAATTGTTATACCGAAATTCTGGACAAAATTAGCATGTTGAAAAAGAACAATAACTACCACGAACCCTCCGAGTGTACTTTGAATACCATGAGTCATGGCAAAAAATTGGGGTAACCGAGTGAAATGCCTGCGCCTGCGCAACACGGGAAGCACGCTTGAGCGCCTACCGGCGGCCGTAGCAGTGGGAGAATGGACAGTAGAATGAGCTGTTTATGAACGTGTTTTGTTCTGTTGCCGGTAATTACCGGCACGTCAGGTGCTGGCCCAAAGAAAGCTGCCAAAAAGGGGGAAAAGGCACAAACAGGTATTGGGTTAAGATACTCTTCTGTCCCTCCACCACAAGTTCAATGAGCCCGTCAGGTCACGTGTAGAGATCATAAAATGTAGCTTAAAATCAATCTCTGAATACTTTCAATTGCTGAAAATATTCGGATTCCAAACAACTTCAATCTATCGAATGGTTATGTCATTGCCAACTTAGATCTGAGCTGTGCAACGCTTTTTTCCGAACTGTCACTTTTTTCAGTCGGCGTACGACATTTCAATATAAAGGATTAAATTACATAACATTTTTACGAAATTCGAAATATAATATGGACCTAGAATCCTTTCGCTCAAAGTATAGCGACATAACAGTGACAACGGTGACTCCTGGTGGAAAGAAGGAAGAACAAAAGGCCAAAGAAAACGACTTCAAGATGTCAACTGAGGAGGAGCAACCGCCGCGCGTTGAAATTACACGCGTTTCGTCTGGCAGTGGCACTGCATACGGACCCAGCGCCACATCGACTCCGTTGAACGTTTCCGCATCGTCCTCTACTGCCGGATCATCACACAGACCCAACTCATCGGCTCCTGCAGGAGGTTTTGCACACGGACGCAGATCATCGACCTCGAACAATCGTTCTGCATTTGGACCATCCCCATTAGGTCCTGCTGACGGATCTGGCACTCGCTCGCAACAGCAGACTGCTGCCGCCCTAGCCTACGCCACCGAGTACAAAGAGGTGATGGCCAAACTGGATTACACAAAATACATGCAGGCCAAGCTGAAGAAGTTGTCCGAATCGCAGGGCCAAAATAATGCTGGAGCCGGTCTCAAATTTGGGATGAAACCGGAGAATATTCTCACTGCCGACGTGGAACCCAAAGGGTCCATTGTGGACACATTCGATAATCTTGTGTCCGTTGTGGAAAAGATAAAGACTGTAGTAAAACCCACTAGCATGGGGATGCGAGTCGCCTCGGAACGTTTGCTGCATGAAATAGCCAATGCCCGTGACGTGGTGAAGACAGGTCAAAAAATCCTAAAGCACGAAGAGCTTGATACTTCAAATACTCCCCCCAAGGAGTGACGTCATCCGGTGCAGGTTCACCGCCGCTCGGTTTACGACACTTTTCAGTTAGTGCCATACTAAAAGAATAATAAAACAATAACAAAAAGCGGGGAGTTCTGGGAACCCTCAGTACATGAAAAAGAGTCTGGTTTGTGTATGGGTATGGTAATGCCTCTGGAGCGCAGTGGCCGGCATTTTGACACTAGCGAGCAGCGGAGCGCAAAGCACAAAACTTGTCCATCATGAATGGGGTGAGGGGAACTTTTGGGGTCGCAGTATTGATACCCTTGGTGTAAAATCTATACTATGGATTAAACGGTATTCCACTCTATGTACATGCTAAACTTTGGCATTTATTAAGCTCTTGTGTGTGCTAACACTATGGTCGTATGATACTACTTTCAGCGAGCTTAGCGATTTGCCTAGAGTTATATCTGTCATTCAGTACAGATAGATAAGTGTAGTGCCATGTGACCATAAAGACGAATTATCGATAGTCATTATTTCGATTACGCATCAATAGCATTCCTCATAGTTGATTACTTTTCATTGCTTTTTCAACGCTTTCCAAACGCACATATTACAAAAAAAAAAAAACAGAACCTTTTCAGTACAAGACACTTTGACCCACTTGTCGAATATACCCATCACATGGCCACTTCCGCACCTGGAAAGGGTCACCGCCACTCCACTTACTAACGCCAGCCCCGACGTAGCCCCAGCCTGCTGGCTTGACATGCGATCGCGTCGCTTCAATTGAAGTTTTTCATGTCGGGAGCTTCAGTCGTAAGCCGACTTTTCACGGGTTAACGCCAGATCTGTAGCGACCGGATCGCACGCACTTTACTAATACCTGGCTTCTGGCTTCACTTCACTCCTGCGCGGGATCAGCTGCGCTGCCTTTTGCTTCCGCTTTTGCAAATTTCATGGATGTGTACATAATTCGGGTTAATTTGTTTGGAAAGTGCGGCAAATAGTTTTTGAGTTTTTCACATTTTCGCAAGCCACAAAAAGTTATTAACAAAACGCCGGGCGGTAATTGCATAGTGCAAAACAAAAAAAATTTTCCACAGTCTCTCATTCGCTCTCTATCTCGCGGTGAAACGGTAAATTGCCAGAAGTGACCAAAGCAAATAAGGAAAGAGGCGACACAAGCCAAGTAGGAGAAGGTGGCGAAAGCAAATAAGCAAAAACAGCCAAATAGTGCAAAGAGGGAGGCGACAGCAATAAACGAAGCAAATGTTTAAGTGCGAAACAATTAAAATTGTTTGATTTCAAGTTGCTAGACTACGATAAAACTGCAGCTGCATTAGCGTTGCTGCCCATAGCCGAGATTTGCTTCGCGGGAGCCGCAACAAATTGGACAACAAAATGCCGCCGTTTAATTTCGTCAAGCAGGTAAGAAGTGTGGAACAGGCAGCATTTAAATGTTTGGTGTGAACAGTAGCACTTATGTACATACATATGTATGTATGTATGTATATGTTTCAATTTGCATACGAGCTTGCGCGCAGATTAATGTGTGAATGCATTTATTGCACGTTAAGTCGCATGTCAACATGGTAAATTACTTAACTTTTGTATGGTAATGTATCCAGATTAAGAGGCATTTGTCGGCAAATCAAAAGACGATTGACGATGATTGACTAGGGTTTGATGGTAAGAAATAACCATGGAGTAAGATTTGTTCCCCAATAAGTGCAGTTTGTTATTCATACAAAAATACATATGGACCATTATTTACAGTTGACGAAAGCATATGCGCAGAGAAACAAGGAAAAAAATAGATTAACTCTGGTGTTTTAGGTCTCTTTTCCATCTTCTTCTGGCGTGGTCTACTGGTGTACAATTAATAATGTTAGCTCGATACCTGAGTGTTGCAATCGTGGTGCAATTACTTTTTGATGAAGACATCTCATCATCGCGATAAAATACGTAGCATTTGCCCTTGAAACTCCAATCAATTAATTAGAATACGCGACTCACTACCATAGCGAGAAAAGTAGAACAGCAATGGCAAACAAATGCGCCAGAGCCACTAAAGATAGTAGAGTTACACATTATTCTCCACAATCAATCATAGTGGAACCCTGTGAACGAGAAGCGACAGACATGAAACGTGTCTAATTGGGCAAAATACAAACAAAAATAGAGGAAATGAAGCCATGGCCTGTCTGTGGATGTGAATCAGTTTGAATAGAAAATAGATTTATCTAAATCAGTGGCCCAGCTGAAGATGAAATAAGACAATCGAAAAGAGATTTTCTGTAATTAAGTGGGCCTCTCTGCAGATGCTCTGCTCGCAGATGGCTTCCGGTGATTAAATGTCAGAAACAAGACCAGGGGAGGCAACAGAACCCCGCATGAACAAACGCCATCCCATGCTGGGAACTAAGAAAGGAAAAGGCCCAAAACAAACCATAAAGGTGGGAACAATTTCTACGCAACCCATCAAACAAACCCTTGCCCCACCCATCCGAGCTTTCTTCTTTCTCCACCAATTCGAAGCACCAAGAAGATCGTTTGTCTGAGTCCGATCTTGGACTTACCAAACAAATGCAAATGGGTCAACGGACAGTGTTTCAGAAGCTGCAGACCATCCAGGGGGGAATACTATGATTATGTTACGAGTGGTTTTTTGGTGGCTCTGCCTAATGAATTTCCAAGCATTAAGGCAACATTTTGTTTTATTTTCGTGGCTTTTCCTCATCGTGTGATAATTAAGATGAATGCCCCCTAGTCTATGGCTGGTTAGAAAGTTATTGCACCACATTTACGGATAGTTCGGGCTCCAAATTTCGGGGCTTATCTCATCTCAAGAGCAGCTGAACCCGAACCGAGAGGCAGGCTCTATACATATTTGCATTTTTCTTTTAGTTTTTTTTATTTTTGGTTTTTAGTTTTAACGCGAGGTTAATTGCATGTTAACCAACAGTTAAATAACAGTTATTCGTGCAGCTGCCGGGTTTGTTTATGGCTACCAAAATGTTCATCCAAAATTGTTCAGCTTCCATCGCAATTGTTGTCCCAGCCTTGTCTTTGCAATTGTCTCTCTTTTTTTTAATGAAGAAATTATTTTGAACTTTTCGTGTTACTCCGTGGCTTCACCCACACCTTTGCCAATGGCCTCTGGCGTGGGAAGCTGTCGACTGCGACTGACTACCGCATCTCTGTTGTTTTCACTAGATTCCAAATCGTTATTACGAAGGGCAAGGGAAGGAAATCAAAGACACACAAAAAAACTACAAATAAAACTACCATTTGCAATGGCAGTTTTGTGAAATGTTTGCATAAAAATCCATTCGGGTTGCGCCTTTCGAAATCCAATTTTATTATTGATCACCATTTGTTCCATCTTATCAACGTTAATTAACCATTTATTAAAGCCAAATCAAATGCAACGCCAGCCAAAACACCTGTTTGTGTTTGTGTTATTGATATTGCCGTTTTGCTTTTACCATTCGACATGGCGACCACTGTGTTTTGTCAGTGGCCACATAATAGGCCACCAGATGGGCGATAGTCTCCCTCAAAACAGCGACCATTTAATGCACTTTAAATTGAATATTCTAGATAAAACAGCCCATAGTAGAGAGCAGATTTCACATTCTTGTGGAGGAGAACTTCCTTCCCTCTTTATAGCAAAGTTAGCTCGGAAAGGCGAATAGCCAGAAATGTGTCGAAATGTCTATATTCGTAAGGAATACTTCCGTTTGCTTTTGAGAAACTCTTACAGCGATGTATCCCATGTTTTATAATAAATATGTGTATCCGTAAACAGATTAAAAAAGCCATTTAGTTGATCGATTACTAACATGTATTATCCGTTGGCAGACAAATCTGCCTACAAATCGATCACCGCCCCAATCCCCATGAAAGAGCATCCCATTCCCATGACGGAGAACACCATTTTTTGTTGAGTCAGCTGGCTTCGTGGTCTGGAATCGCTGGCAATTAATGTGGGCTGCTGTTTTCCAGTCTACGAAGACCAACTGAAAAAAGAAGCTGCAGCAGCATGTTTGCCATAGTTTGCCATCTTCAGAGCCAGAGTCTGCTGGATCTTCCATGGCTAATGAAAAGACAGAAAAGCGCAGCAGAGACTCGCAGCAGAGATGAGGAGGCAGAAACAAATCGGCACAATCACCGCTAGCGGGGATTCATCCAGCAGATGGGGAAGGAATACTGAAAAAAATAAAAAATAAAGCAGTCTGAAGCGGTACATTGCTGCCCCGTTTCCCGGTTGCATTTTGCAGTTTGCCGCTTACAGATGTGGCAAATGCCACAAGTCAATGTTGCATTGTGCCTGCTTTTGTGTTTGGCTGTTTGTGTTTTTTATTAGTCTCAAAGTTTACGTAAATGTCGCGTGTGTTGTGCCACAAGCAAACATACACAAAATGCTCTTAATGGGTTTGGGATCTCAAAGCAAACAATCGAACCGTTTCAGGCGTCCGCCTTTTGTGTTCGCCTTTTATTTGGTAAAAGGAAAAGTCAATTGTTTGGACGAGGCGTCGTTTGTCTTGCAAGTTGACGTCTGTAATTATCATAAATTGTAAAATTGCATTTTCATCCATGCTAAAAGTCGCACAATTTTCGGTCCGAGAAAATGCTCTTTGCATTTCATATCCCACATTTCGCAATCCACAATCCGCATTTTACATTTACATTTACATTTGCTTTCATTTTTTCCAGTTCACGCCTCAACCTCAACGGTTGATTGAACTTGTCAGAGATTTTGAGTTGGAAAAACATGAAGCATGGCGCATGGTTCATGGCAGAGAAAAAAAGAGTTACCTGGGATTGTTTTACTTTTTTGCTTTTGAAAGGCATTGCATTGTCTGTTGCCCCAAGATACGGATACAGTGTTCTTCCAGTGTCTGTAAGGAGGGCCCATTAGTGTCGTTCACGCTTTGGAAAACACACTTTGGAAAACCATTACCATACATTTCACATTTTCGGGGGCCTTCATAGAGATGCACACACAAGTACAAGCCAGTATGTAAATGTTGGTCGAAATAATTTGACTACTTTCCTCACTCGACTCCAATTGAGGCCCGTTGGCTGTTAATGATTGTGCC